AGGCCAGGAGCCCCTAGTAGCATCCTTGCTCCTAGTAGCGATGCCAGGAGCTCCTAGTAGCGTCCTTGCTCCCAGTAGTAAGGCCAGGAGCCCTTAGTAGCTTCTTCTTGTTTTTCTTCTGGGTTTTTGATCTCAAGGTCTTTTGGGATTTGCTGGGTTCTTGCCCCTTATGTCAGTGAGGAGATTTTCAATAACATTTACGTTCAATCTTTGTTGGCTGCAATCCTTTGAGTAGGACCCAATGAACATCTTTAGCAAACTGGTATGCATTGGGGTTATTGTCGGCCAACCGCAGCTGCACCCCAAAAAGGCGAGGGAGCAGGTGGAATGGTGGAACTTTGCATCCTGAATCTGCGTGATGTCTTGGAGGCCTCGATTTCAGGGCGGGCTTCTACCAGTTGCTGCAGCGCGCAAGGTTGGCAACTGCATTTGGGTTGCGAGTCCATTCAATATTCAATACCAGGTATTTGATTTTGCCGAGTGCTTGGAGCACTCTGGGCAGGACATAGCTCTGGCGGACTTGATGGCCTCGCGTATGGAACTTACGAAAATCAATTCTGACTTAGGAGGCCAAAGGCATCCGAACGGCACCTGACTTTGGTCCAAAACGATGTTGTTCCTGGCCCCACTCCGACCTGACTGAATGAAGCATGTGCAAATCTTGTGTGACCTTTTCCAAGGCAACACCACCTGTGCAGCTTGTGCAAGTTCACAGCCGGAATTGCAGTCCGCCCGGCGGAGTTCTTACAGTTCTTCGTCTAACCGGACACCCAATTGGACTATCTCCTCTAAGACTCTAAGTGTTGCTTCCTATGGCTATAATATATATATATATAATATACACATGCCTTCCAATACCCACCCATTGTGTGTTTCTTACTGGAAATTAGAATTTGTTTGGATCATTTTTTCATATTTGTTCGAGCAATATTTTGAGACCTTTTTCCAAAGTAGTGACATTGTTTTACAGGTTTTGGGATACCTTATCCCGTAGAGAGTTACCCGGCCCCCACCCCAGCCTTAACCTGAGGTGATGAAGATTAATCACATGCAGAACATATTAAATAGATAAAAGAAAGTAGTCTCTATGCGCAATGAGGCAGGCTCACCGCGTGCATTTACTATATTTCTTGTTTATTCACACCGCTTGGCGGTCGAAGCCGCCCGCGCGGAGTAAAGGGCACAAAGGGAAAACATACACACACATACAGACATAGACATCCGAGGCAGGAGGACATGTTAACCGGGCTCAAGTGTGTCTCAGTCTGTCTGTCTGTCTCGGTCTCGGTCTGTCTCGGTCTATCTGTTTTGGTCTGTCTGTCTTGGTGTGTCTGTACCGGTCTGTCTATCTCGGTCTGTCAGTCTGTGTCCACGATGTCGATAATGCAATATCAACCGGTCAGCATAGCTAGCATCGCCAATGTTTGGTCAAATTTTTGACAATCTTCAAAAAACATGCAAAGCACAGCATTTCGTACCCGAAAATGGTGTTTTCTGCGATTGCTACAATGCCCTCGGCGCGGGCGGATTTGCTTTCTTATCACAGACCGCCAAGCCAAAAGCCCAAAATACAAAACTCCGAGGAGAATCTTTGGCTTCAGCCTGAAAGATGTTTCTTGTGTTCATTGATTTGCTTGTGTTTTTTGCTTCATTGAGAAAAAACAAGGTTGGTCTATGCAATCACCAATGCCCAAAATGCACAGGTTTTTCTAAACATAAGAATAAGCGAGCACTTCAAAAAACCTTGTTTTTTGTGAGTCGCCGTTGCATAGACTAAAGCAACAGCCCAAAACAACCTTGTGTTTTTTGTTTTTTGACGAATGAAAACACAAAGCAAGCAAATCAATGAACACCAAAAAGAAACATCTTTCAGGCTGGAGCCAGAGATTATCCTCAGAGTTTTGTTTTTTTAGTTTTTTGTTTGGTTTTGTTTTGGGTTTGGCCCTAAGTTTGACTTACTGCTACCACCGCAACTTTTTTTTCCAAACTCATAGTTTTTCTTTGTTTTCAGTTCTTTTCTGCACGCGATGTTCCGCAAGCAATGCCTGGATTGTCATAAATGCACTAACGAAGGGTAAAGGCCAATGTCTGTGTAAACTCCCCACGAGGAACGTCAAGCACTCGCAAAGCCTCGAAAGTCAAAGCAGGCACGCAGCATATCGACCGTGCCGGGCGGTTCCTCAAAGAACAGATCCGCCGTAAGCAACACGTGAAGGCGGGAAGCAAAGCTATCCAAGCCCAAATTCGATCCGCTCAGTATGAGCACTGGCTTCTTGGGTCTGATTTTTGGCTGGATACTGGTGACTTAGTCACAAGGACAATGTCTCAGCATCTTTTCAAAAAACAGCCTCTGATTCTGAGACCAGATTCTGTCACAATGCTGCTGCAAAGGATGTCTGCTGCTTTCCACTGCACTAAGGTATAGCAAACCTGCTTTTCATTCACAAATGCTACTTGACCATTCCACACAAGTAGTCGGTCAAGCCTGCTTTTCGCACATGAATGCAACTCAACCATTCCAGTCATTCTCAACACAAACGATGGGTATTGGTAGGGGGTAGCCTATAACATTATAGTTATGATATGATATTTTGTCATCCTGTAACTTTTCCTCAGAAGCGCGTTCAATATCTGAAGATGGCTGGCGACTGACAGCCGCTCGGAGAGACTCCAAGTGTAACTTTGCGTTTCGAATGCCAGGCCATCGCACAGCTTCGAGGCTGGCTGATCCATGTACGATATTTACGCAGATGACGAGAGAGAGGGAGAGAGAGAGAGAGAGAGACAGAGGGAGAGAGAGACTAGTTCATCATTTGACTACACCACGTAGCCGCTTTTGTTTCCCCCGAGGTTTCATTCAGCGGCCAGCAGCTTTGGCAGCAGCTCAAGGCATTTGTTTTCACAGGATCCAGTAAAGTAGTATTCTCTAAAAACGGCAATGATGCCCATGCACAAAACATAGTTGTATAGTAGCGACTGCCTCCACCCTAGTAGCGATGGCCTCCACCCTAGTAGCGATGGCCTCCACCCTAGTAGTAGCGATGGCCTCCACCCTAGAAGCGATGGCCTCCACCCTAGCAGCGATGGCCTCCGCCCTAGTAGGGATAGCAGTGATGGCCTCCACCCTAGTAGTGATGGCCTAACTGGACAGTCGTATTGTCATAGACTGCACCATCAAACCGAGTAGCTGAGACCCACTGTTCTTGACCTGACACGCAGGAAGTGTTGTTTCAACATGGCTGGAAGTAGATTATCTTTCAAAAGAATGAACAGAAGTCAAGCACATCAGAAACATTCATAAACTTCCAAAGAGCAGGCGAAGATGCAGCTTGCAGTGGATGCGACATTCGACCAGAAAGAGGCGTTGGTCTTCCCTGTGTTGGAGCCGCGGTCTCAATTGTGCGAACCTGCCAGGTCAATCGAGGATCATTTCTACTTTGGATGTTGGGCTTTGGCGCTCTTTGCCTCACCTCTGCTGTGGTCCTCTGACCATTGCCGTGTCACTGGAGAAAAGCCAAACGCGAAGCGGCGCGAAGCGGACAGCGCTCTCTCTCTCTCTCTCTCTGCATCATCTATATATAAGTATATATGTCTCCAGTTTGGGATCTAGGTTTGCAGTGCCTTGCGCATCCTCACTAATTACGCGGTGCCTGTGCATTTGCTTCTCCGCTTCTTTTTGGGCTCAAACACGCCTTTGGAACGAACAGGTATTTTATTCGATACTGTTCATTTGTGCTTCATGCTTCGTGTGCACCTGAGAGCAGCTCAGCCCTCTGAGGCTTTGGGATGCCCGTGTATCGGAAGGCGAATCATGCTGCTCGACCCGATTTCGACTTAGGTGACGCCAGCGAGGTGTCGACCATTCATAGAGGACCGGGTGGTCCGAACGTGTTTTCCGGAACTTTATTCTGTTTGGACATGAGATTTTAGGAAAGAGATTTAGAGGACATGATCAAAACGTCGAGACCGCCTCGGAGTTTTCTCATTCGAAGGCTAACGACTCGATCCCTTTCACACAGATGTAGATGGGATGGATTCGTTGTTGATTTTGTCCAAGAATGGGCAGATCTGAGCACTCAAACCCGAAGGAGAATGCTGATGTGGTGTGCTATCATTGGAATCATTGCTGTTGCAGGCAAGCCACCTTCCCTCGCCTTCCCTGTCCATCTCTGTGGCAAAAGCAACCCCTGGGCTTAAGGCAGAAGGGTGCAGCTTCACCCTCTCACCCCATCCCTCACCAGAAATTATTAGTTAGTTCTGTTTGGTTGCCACCCGCACAAAGTTCATTGAGTCGACCGTGACACTGCTAGGTGACACGCACTCTCAGGCGTGGATGCCGAGTGATGAGAGTGTCCATTTTGAGCGGATGAGCCACCATGGTGTCAACATAGAGTGGGGGCACTGTGGGCCGCTGTGGACCTTGCTGTCAAGAATGATGATCCTTTTCCATCCTTTTCCCATGTTCTCAGCTTCGTGAGGACTTAGCTTCAGCAAACAGCATTTTGGCTCAGCCCTTACCAGGAATGCGGTTTTGTTTTTTTTGCGTTAAAAACAAAGGGATTTGTCAGCGTATAGGGTATTCCCCGGATGTGTCCAAGGCCGCAGCTGCGCAAGGCGGCTTCGGAGTGGAAGCAGTGGCTTGGTTCAGATCATTGCAAATCCATTCAGTCCTGCAATAAAAACACGTCCATACAGGTTTCTGGAAACGCTTCAAGTCTTTGGCTCATAGTTTCCCAAACTGAAATAATTAAGACTCTGTTGCAAGTGCCGTTGAATGAACAAGCTAGCCTAGTAGCCCCACCGCGTGCGAACGCCAAGGAGAGAGGGCAAGCTGTGGCCGCTGATGATGTTTCAGCGACCTGGAGCTACAAAGAAGGGGAGCGACTGTTAGTAGCTAGAAGCTACGAACGTAACAAGGGCATTACTACCAGCAACAAGAAGCTACTAGTAGCGATGCCAGGAGCTACTAGTAGCGTCCTTGCTACTAGCAGCGATGCACCTTGTTACTATTCAAAGATATTTTACGTTTTTCGATTTCTGACTGAACAGAGCCAGCCACCTGACGTGACAGGCAGTCCATTCTGGGGCCCGGCCAAAAATCACCAGACGAATCCTGATTCAAAGTGAACGCCTTCACTCCGCCTTCACTTGGTCTGGTGTCATCCACCTTTCGTGCACAGCGTCTCCAACATGGCACTTGGCGAGGTCTCCAACACGGCCCAGCTTCCAATGACCGACTTAGAAGCAGAGGTGCAGCGGACCTCTCGTGTAGCTGCCTACTTGGCCCAGGACCGGTCCCTTCAACTGTGATCCAAGAAGTGACGCAGAATGGAAAGAGATTGTGACGCATTTCTTCCTTTTCCTTTTTCTTTGTTTCTAATAGCGCTGGCCTCCAAGCTACTAGCGCTGGCCTCCAAGCGAATTACTAGCGGTGGCCTCCAAGCTAATTAGACCATTCAAGAAACGTCGGAACGTCATGGAACGTTTTTCTCATGGAACTTTTCACTACACCAATTAGGGGCCGCTGTGCTTCCAAAGTTAGTTGCACCAATTGGACCAGGTAGAGGGCGTTTTAGGATGTTTTAGGTGTCAGGGAAGAGGGACTTCAAAAACTGGGATTGAAAACAACACGCATTTCAAGAGTGTCCATCCCAGTGTTACAGGATACAAGATTCTCAGTTGAGAGATCAGAGTGAGACCAAATTCAACCACACCGCATACCTCCATGGCGCTGTCAAAAGGACGCCGCCGTCCTTTCGAAAGAGCTACAGAGCCAGAAGCTCGGGCATTTCGTGGAATTGGACGACCAGAGGGTCTTGGCGTTTTTAGACTTGATTTGCCACACACGACTGTCGAGTCTCCATTAACTTCTGAACAGCACTCGTGCGAGGTTCTTGCAGTTTCAAAATGTTACACACTTTCCAAACCCTCTGTGCATGTCGTCGACCATTTTCAGGTCTGCAGATGTCTCTGCGTGGCCATGCCCGATTAGATCTTGACCAAAGAGATGATGCTGCTTGGCGACAGTGACGATCCGCCCATCTGCCGGTCTGGGTCTTTCCTCGGTGTCTTGACCATCCGGTAAGGGTATAGAACATGGTAGAGCCCCGCGGCCCCTCTTTCAAGAGGTCTTAATAAATCTTAAACTTAGCATCTCTCAACTTGCCCTTTTTGATTCATATTCTATCAAATTATATGTGTTTTGCTGGATTTTCCAGAGGTTTTGGCAAAGACAGCGATGTCGTCTCGGCATTTCAGCTGTTTAGCAACCGGCTGGATTGATGCAAGCGGACTGGGACCAGGATGCCTGCAGATGTGGTGTTTTCCACCACCATCCGCAGACCGGATTTCTTGACCCTTCCCTTATGGGGTCGGATCAGCTTCAAGCACTTGCACTTCTTGCACTTCTTGCACTGCACGTGCTCAAAGATCACCAACCCTTTGAGAAGAGCTTCATTCGAGTCTGCCGAGAGGTGTCTCGACCTCCTGAGGTGTCTGGCATCTCAACCTTGGAGCTCTCCGCGGCACAGACTCCAGCGACACCCAGCAGCGGCACCGCAACGGCAGCTGCACCCGCACCACCGGCACCGGCAGGGCCCAGCAAGGACGGCTGGTTGACGTACGAACTCGATTTCAACCTAAGAACGATGGCCTCCATCCTGGTCAAGAACATTGATTACTAGAAAATTACGAGCAGTGCCTTCTAGTTTCGCCACCTAAGTTGGTCTTGTGCGCTTTCCCTCAAATCTAGCATTTCACCATGTCCAACGACCGACCATGCGTTACATGGGTTGGATGCTCATCTATGGTTTGCCGGTAAGTGTTTGCTTCGAGAACTCACATGGGTGTACTTGCACAAGCAGGTTCTGATTGGACAGATCCATCAATCAGGGACTTGATTCCTCCATGAGCCCTGAAATCGAGGAGAAGACCGAGACTGGAGGGGCACAAGCGCCCAAGAGCACAGGTGGGGACCGGCAGGGGCCAGGAGGCATGCTGGATCATGTTAATAGCGATGGCCTCCATTCTAATACATTCTAATAGAGATGGCCTCCAGCCTACTAGCGATCATGTTAGTATTCCACTATATACATTCCAGTTTGAGCCTCGTTAGATCGACGTATTGCACCTCTGAAAACACACGGCCTGCGCGATGCTGGTTTTGAGGCAACGATGAAGGATGTGATGGTCCTGGTGAGACACCGTGCCTGAGCTAAACTGCGGAAGGTACCATGATAAGCCCAGGTGACTTGTTTTCAAAACATGTACAGACGTTTTGCACATGTACAGACGTATGCGGTATGAGATGTGATTCATGTTAGATGACCACTTGAGCACCGCAAGAAACCTCCCAAGATGAACTAAGTAAAGGCCTTGTCATATGGAACTTGGGCGTAAGCAAAAACCTGAAGAGCGTAAGGTTGCGTAATGGAGTTGTGAGACATGCATGTTGCGTAAGCTTGCCATATGGTTGTGTTTTCATTATATAGTAGATTCTTACACTCTTGTCAAGAAAGGAACTGTATTGACCATGAGAGCTTTGAAACCCTTGGGAACTGACATTTGTGTGCACTGTGTTTCAGGTGTGTGCACTGTGCTTGTTTGTGTTTGCAACTCTGTATCAAACCTTTCTCAAGTCAGCCCCATCATACCATGTCATAACATGCCAGGCTCCGTTTGGTGAGGGTTTGGTGGCGTAAGGTTCGCGTAAGCTCCGCGCAAGGTTCGCGTAAGCCAACTTTTCATTTGCCTACAGCAGCCAGTAAGTAGATGCTAGTGATCCTTTGCTTCCTCTGCTGATTCGGAGTCTTAGTGATCATGTGTTTGTCGCCGGCTCACCTGCAAACAGGAGCCTTCGCGTAAGCATTTTGCTTGGGAGTATGGTTCTCATCTGTGAAACTGCAGATGCGTAAGATCTGCGTAAGGCCTTCTTCAACATCCGTGGCGCATAAGCTCACATTGTGGTCGCGTAAGAAAGGCGTAAGCAGGAGCGTAAGAACGTTATGCGACATAGGGGTTTAATCATACGTATTTTGCAGAGCTCACTTGGAAGCAGCATAGATTGGCAACCTCCGTCGCAGGAAGGGCAGGCTATGAACATGCAAATTATAGTTTTTGTCAAATCCATCGCTATTGGGGAGGCCATCGCTATTTGGTGGAATATCTGCATGTCTTTGTCAAATCCGTCCGCGACTCTCAGGTGTAGTCCGGTGAACAAGATCCTCACCTTTGACTATCGTTTCCCCATCGGTTGGGGCTTGCTGAATTGGGTGCTGAGCTCACCAGCGACGTCACGGCGGTGTAGCGATGCGTCGTAGCGTCCTTGTTCCTAGTAAGGCCAGAAGCCCCTAGTAATAGTAGCTTCTTGTTACTAGTAGCGATGCCCTTTGCTCCTAGTAGCGTTCTTGT